AAATACTGTATATATTATTAGAGTGGTTTTAGTTAGTTTACTTATTAGTTATGGCCAAAATAAATATTTTATTTATAATCGGAGATCATTTTAATTAATTAGGTTAGTAGTGATGGCGTAGATAAATACTATATATATTATGAGAGGTAATTTTAGTTAATTTCTTATTAGCTGAAGCCAAGATAAACATGCATTATCAGAGATCGTTTTGGTTAATTTACGTATTAACCAAGGCCAAGATAAACATGCATTATCAGAGATCGTTTTAGTTCATTTACGTATTAACCAAGGCCAAGATAAGTACTAATTTTAGTAAATTTATTTACATATTAGTTAAGGATAATATAAACATTTTATGTTTTCTGGGAAATTTTTAATTAGATCACTTTTTTTCATACCTAAGACCAATATAGCTATCATGTATTATCTAGGAGAAGAGAGTGGTACAAGAGTTGTTGGTGGGTGCTGTTGACTAACTGCTTTCCTTGCCCGAAAATGCATTCCCGCCCCCATTTTCGATACCCGTGGTGGGAAGAGCACAGATAGTCCATTGTGTAGCTTTGTGCCTAACTTCAAAACAAACAAACAATGCCCGAAAATTCTGAAACAAAAAAGAAATGTTATCCTGCCATTTTATTTAATTTACTTATTAGCTTAAAGCAAGATAAATATTTTAGTATTTTAGCTAGGGCTACAAGAATAATGAATACATTTTAAAATATTAGCTAACTACAAAAAGAATGTTATTGAAATTTCATTTCTCACTTTATATACGTTTCACGCTAACAGATATGAAAATACTAAAAATACTTGAACATTTTGAAATCAGTAAAATCAGTGGTTAGAACTTTCCGGGTTGCGGCTCAAGACTCGCGTCCTGCTGACCACGCTTCGTATTTTCAGCGATAATGACATTCCTGCTATTAGATAACAAGTAAATTAGCGATAACTAAGTCCACGTGACGCATGATTGTGTCATTGTGTCTAATTATTAATAAAAGTCAATTTTTACAATTTACTTATTATTATTATTATTATTTTACCTTGAAATGCGACTTCGACTTTCAGCACAATTTTTTACAGGCTTTAAAACGTAAACTAATTTTAACCTGTATTAAAGTATGCTAAACATAATGTTTCAACCTATTAACTGATTATTTATAGATTTTATAGAAAGCAACATTCGTAACAAAATGTTTAGATTTTAATGAGGTTCGTTTCATTTGTGTATAACTATATCAAATTTTTGATTCATGAATTTTGAAATTTGTTCTGTAAATTTACGTTTTTGTTTTTGGTACAGAGAGTTTTCAGAATAGTTTATCTTTATTTCCAGCCCCGAAGCCGACGGGACGACGACCGAGAAAGCCGGGAGTAGAGAGGAAACCCCGGCAAGCCTACAGTGCCAAACAGTTGGAAAGACTGGAGTCAGAGTTCAAGGTGATGTATCTTTACGCGATCATTTTAACACTATTAAACTGTCATAAAAATTATCAAATAAATCGCGTAACCTATCCGATTATAAAATACAGTTGAAATTCCATTGTTGACTGCTTTAAACATTGTCGTATTGAATCAGTTTTTGTGACGTGTCTACAATTTCACCTGATACGAAAACTAAAACCATTTTCTGGTTAAGGTTCTTACTTAACAGGACAGTGAACAGACTGGTTTTTGTATGGAACTAAAATTAACTGGAATCGTTCCATTACACTTCAACCGGAGTTTTGTTTCTAGTAGTAAAATGGCCCGGCATGGCCAGGTGGTTAGGACGCTCGACTCGCAATCTGCGGTTCGCATCCCCATCCCACCAAACATGCTCGCCCTTTCAGCCGTGGGGGCGTTATAATGTAACGGTCAATCCCACTATTCGTTGGTAAAAGAGTAGTCCAAGAGTTGGCGGTGGGTGGTGATGACTAGCTGCCTTCCCTCTGTTCTTACACTGTTGAATTAGGGACGGCTAGCGCAGATAGCCCTTGTGTAGCTTTGCGCGAAATTCAAAAACAAACAAATTAGTAGTAAAATACTAAACGCACCTTAAAATGTTTATACATTCCGATTAAGTAGTTGGAATGTGGTGACGAGAGAGCCCTGTTTTCTCTCATACACGGAGAAGCATAATTAAACTACAGTATATATATATACATATATCCTTTTCAGTTACATTGGCTCCATTCGGGTGTTTCAAAACCCATTTCCCTCGTCCTGATAACTACCGACGGGAAACTGATAGTCACAATGTAATGTATCTAGATGTGTGCAGACCAACTTTACCATACAGAAGTCGTGTGGTGTGTTTTGATGATGTACGTGATACATGTGCAAAGGTGTAGGAGACAAATTCAAAGTGGGGTAGGGGCAAGGTTTATTTGACTGAGCGAAGCGAGGAAATGTACGACACAGGCGCATCCATTACGGTCGGGGTCCAGGGCTTTCCTTAGGGCCCTGGAAGCTTTCGGGTTCTGGATTAAATGTTATGCATTCTCCTGCTTTTCTTGAGAGTAATTTTCCTAATGTTGATGCATTTGAACGGGGACAGATTGAAAAGTGTCCCCACCCCCCGCTTCCTACGCCAATGACGCCATCGTCTGAACAGTGGAAGTGACTTTTTGAAACACCCTCTATGTACTTAAAACATACACACTACACTTATTTAACATTCTTCCTGGAGAAGTCGGCTCTATTGGATTTAGTGTTAGTATCATGGTAGTAAATATTTTTAATTTTTCACTCTTTTAAAAATATCAAGCTGCTTTATTTTGTAGGAAATGGTTTAGTTTGTATTGGGATCAGAGTAATTAAGTCACAATTGGACACAAGTGGAACTAGTATCATAAAATATTACCTGCCTTGTGTAAGAGAAAAGTAGTACCATCTATTGGCGTTGTTTACATTGGGATCAAAGTACCTACATCACAATTGGACACAATTGGAGCCAGTATCATAAAATATTACCTGCCTTTTGTAAGAGAAAAGTAGTACCATTTATTGGCGTTGTTTACATTGGGATCAAAATACCTACATCACAATTGGACACAAGTGGAGCCAGTATCATAAAATATTACCTGCCTTTTGTAAGAGAAGAGTAGTACCATTTATTGGCTGTTCTTATAAATGCTAGTAGTATTACAAAATTGTTTTTTGTTTATTTCATCATAGAAAATTTGTGATTGAAAAAGTTATATCTCTTCCATATCTCATATAGTTTAGTGTAATATAAGCTTCTTTCAATGGGTTTTCTCTTGTCGTGTGAATTAATGTGCTTGAGGTGTTGTTTTTTTAAATGTTTAACTTATTGAATACACCAGTCAGTTTACCTTTAAAACAAAAACTCATACTTCGGGTTTTAATATAGTGAATTGTATTAATAATTATGTTTGACACGTAAAATGTTATTTATGTAGAAGTAATATTTTTAGCTTTATTTTCGAATGTAAATTGTATATTACTTACTGTACATCTTGGTGTATGTCTGAGCGTTAGTCTGAGTCCCGTTTGAAAAGTTGCGCATGCAGACAAAACTCAACATTCACTTTTGAAATGATGAGAGAACCGACATGAATGATGTCAAGAAGATAAGATAACAATAGTACAGGAGGGAAGAAGAGGTCTATTAGAACCTGACCCTCCCAGGTCGCAAAAGACCTAAATTCCGATGATTGATCCAGCAATAATGTTGATGCCAAATTTTATTTCGCAAGCAGGATATTCTACACAGGAATTAATAACAATATCATTCACATTTCAAAATGTGACGTAACTTAAATAATAAAAATGTTATTGTTGAGCGGCTCTTAGCCTGATTGAAATGCTCGACAATTTCTTTTCGCGATGGGCGGTATAAGTAGCTCAGAGCTTTGGCTCTAAGTGAA